TATCTATGTACTACTAAAACTCTGAGATTGTTTGTTTGTTTGTTTGCTTATTTTCTCAGTCAAAAAATAACCTATGAATAGTGGTTGACCCAACGGGTCACGGTGGTCTAATATACTACTAAAACTCTGAGATTGTTTGTTTGTTTGTTTGCTTATTTTCTCAGTCAAAAAATAACCTATGAATAGTGGTTGACCCAATGGGTCACGGTGGTCTAATATACTACTAAAACTATGAGATTGTTTGTTTGCTTGTCTGTAATTAAATACAGCTAAAAAAAGCACAATATGAGAATGAAAAAAATATGAATAGAATATGAGAAATGAGAATAGAAACAGAATAAAAAAGTTTCGTTAAAATCTGGCCACAGGTTACTTCGGGTCACTTTTATGAAAATTTCTAGCATGAGTAATTTTACATCACACTACCGTTCGCGCTCTTTACGAAACTTCTTCGTTCAAGGCCCGGCATGGCCAAGTGGTTAGGGAGGTCGACTCGCAATCTGCGGGTCGCGAGTTCGAATCCCCGTCCCACCAAACATGTTCGCCCTTTCAGCCTGGGGTTATAATTTAACGGTCAATCCCACTATTCGTTGGTAAAAGAGTAGCCCAAGAGTTGGCGGTGGGTGGTGATTACTAGCTGCCTTCCCTCTAGTCTTACACTACTAAATTAGGGACGGCTAGCACAGATAGCCCTCGTGTAGCTTTGCGCGAAATTCAAAAAACAAACAAAAAATAATAATTCTTCGTTCAAATCTATTTCCCTGTCAATGTTCCCATCTTCATTGAAAGGCTTAAGATGACAAAAACAAGATCTTGAAGAATTTCTCAATAATGTGCCTTGGTTATGGTAGGTAAGGAAATGAGAAAATTTTCTCAGTCAAATTCTTCATGACCTCTGAATAGTGGGTGACCCAACGGGTCACGGACTGTCTAGTATATGATGAAATTAAGGATACTCTTCACTTAATGATCAATTATATAAAATTAATAATCCTGTATAGTTGAAATATGTCTATATGGACACTCATTTTCAAGAATACATGTCTAAACGAGTGAAAAGCTACCTGTTTGTACCTACAATACATGAGCTCTTACAGTCTGTTCATTTGAATTCATACATAGTTCTTGATGTATCTTTCTCAATATACGTTTTAAATAGAATTTAACCAAGTTTATACTGGGTAGAAATATAAAACAAACTCTACTATCAGTTTGATATTCGTGTTTGCTTTAAATTTCTACCAAATAAAAAACTTGGTCAGTTTATAACAAATTTTGAATCAAGTTTTTTTTTAATTGCATGGAGAATTTGGGGATGAAGAGTATAACAAAATATATTGAGTTACCTTTAGAAGTTTCTTTTTTCTTTACCAATTTATGGTTTGTTATTAAAGGATGCAGTTGCATGTTTTGTATACAAAACTAAAATCTAAGGTTATCATTTTCAGTGACAAAACATTCGAGGTTGGACCGCAAGTTGTTGTTGATTTTTTGTAAAGATTGTTTGTTTGTTTTAGAATTTCGCGCAAAGCTGCACGAGTGCTATCTGCGCTAGCCGTCCCTAATTTAGCAGTGTAAGACTAGAGGGAAGGCAGCTAGTCATCACCACCCGCCGCCAACTCTTGGGCTACTCTTTTACCAAAGAATAGTGGGATTGACTGTCACATAATAACGCCCCCACGGCTGAAAGGGCGAGAATGTTTGATGTGACGGGGATTCGAACCCGCGACTCTCAGGTTGCGAGTCGAGCGCCCTAACCACCTGGCCATGCTGGGCCCTTTTTGTAAGGATCGAAGTGTTTAATGTTCATAATGTAAAAACCAATGTGCGTGTTTTTATGAAATACGGAAGTATGTTTGTTTGTTTGGAATTAAGGACAAAGCTACACAATGGGCTATCTATGCTCTGCCCATCACGGGTATCGACACCCGGTTTCTAGCATTGGAAGTCCTCAGACATACCGCTGTGCCACTGGGGGGCACGGAAGTATGAACACTAGTATTTTTTCTTTTCTACAAGAACGTATAATATGGTAATTCTTTTTCTATAGTGAATTGTATATGAACAAAGAGGTGGCTGAATGAGTTACGAAGAAAAACGACGACTTATCTTTTCCGAAACATAAAATTTATTATAACTTTATTATTGAAAACAGCAGATTCTGCACACTTCTTGCGATCATAGATATATATACACACATTTATATTATAATTTGTAAACTATACTTTCCAAGGATTTTGTTGAATTCATTGCTAAGTTTGTGTTTTTTGTTAAATTCAGAACGCAATAAAATGATCACCTGCAAACGTGGCTTTAGTTGTGTCACTTCTCTTCTTGTTGCCAGTCTGGAGTACCTTTGACTTTCCTCATTGGTCAGTTGACCATTGGTAACCGGCAAGTTGAACTTGTGGGGTCCCGGCCCGAAAGTCTTTTGAGATGACAGATCTGTCGCTCAGTTATTTAAGGTGACTGTACTTTGTAGGTTGATCAGTGCTTTCAGGTCGTTTCCAGCGAAAGAGTTCAGTATAATGACACAGCCTGTTATTAACAGCTCTTGTGAATTTCAAACTAACTTAAATATTATAATTTCGTTTGTCAAATTTCGCATCGATCTCTTTTTGTCGCATTTTTCTCCTTTAAACGTCGTGGGTCAGTGGTAATTCTACGACCTTACGACGCTAAAATCTGGGATCTGATTCCACGGAGTGAACACAGCAGATAGTCAAATGTGGCTTTGCTATAAAACAAATTACATCAAACCACTTAAACACGTACACCCCCTTCCAAATCCCATAATATTTTAACTGTAAGTTGGTGAGGAAGGTATGTAAAGGCTTCTGATTATCTTTATCTGATTCTACCATGTGTTATGTGTGACTTAGTATTTTCAGTTACAGTTCTGTGTCATTTTATTATTGCTAAGATTGTTTCGATTTGATACAATATTTTCCCAGTGTAATATAACCATATGAATTATATTTTTATTTCCAGAACTTGTCTCTCTGTACGTTAAGTTATATATTATTAGTTCTGTTCATCATTATGCTCCGTATGCATGATGTGACCAAGGTTTGCAATGTCTTCATAACATCAACGAGAGAATATGCACATTTGCGAGTTGTAAGAAGGGAGACAAAAATAAAAAAAAATTAACCTTTCTTCATTTGTTGTTTATTTCATTTACATTACTTTGTTTAAAACAGGGTTTTCACAAATTGTAGTTGACTGCCAGTTGTTAATGTTAATACGGAACCACGTGTCTCTCCTTGCTTTAAAGTTACAGAATATCATCCATAAGTGCACATCTTAATATA